TGACCCTGTTTATTTCACGATTGTTAATGGAAATAGATAAAATTATATCGTTATCAGTAGTATTAATTCTTTGCCGCGATCCTATTATCATGAATTCCGTTTTAACAATATTCAAACTAAGCTTATTAGCTGTAAGCCAGTTATTCAGATTTTCTAATTCACGGTTAATAACAAATTGCATTTTGTCAAATGAATCAGCGGAATAACTTATACTCGTATCGTCCGCAAACATTCTGGGCTTAGATACATTCAAGCAATTTGGTAGGTCGTTAATATAGATAAGGAATAGCAATGGACCCAAACTACTACCCTGGGGGACTCCACAGGTTAACGAGGTAGAGCTTGAGAGTTGACCATTTACTTTGCACTTTTGTTTTCTATTCGTTAGATATGACCTAAACCAATTTAGACTACCTGGATCAACTCCATAATTTGTTAGCTTTAGCAGAAGAATTTCATGGTCAATGGTTTCAAAAGCTTTTTTTAGGTCGATAAAGACTACCGCATTTAACAAGCCGTTATCTATATTAACCGACCAATCATTTGCCGCCTCTAGTAGTGCTGTTAGTGTACTGTGAAATGATCTAAAACCAGATTGACAAGAAGTCAGCAGGTTGTTCTCATTAAGATAATAGGAGTATTATTCCATACTCTTATGAGTATTATTCCAGGACACGAACACTGACAAGGATAGGAAGAATCGCCATTCATCGAGCTTGTTAAAAAGAAAATTGATATTTTGAACGAATAAAGTTGTGTCGCATATTCGAGAATTTAATGCGTTTTTAATTGATTGAATAGGAAAAAATATGGAGGATGCGGGCATCGATCCCGCTACCTCGCGCATGCAAAGCGCGCTGTTCCATTTGAGCTAATCCCCCAGAGCCGCCGTAATGCATTGAAATCTATTGTCACAATGACACATATTTATTTTGGTTTTTTTACATTTGATTACCCAAACAAACTATTTGCGAAAACCGCAAAACGAAAGCATTATTTTCAATATATTGCAGACATACCAAGCTAACCGGCAAAGTCTTTCAAATTATCTCCTGCCGAAACCCGGGATTGAGCCAGGGACCTTCAGATCTTCAGTCTGACGCTCTCCCACCTGAGCTATTTCGGCATACAGCTTAAAACGTGTATTCATGTTCTTCAGGCGTTTTCGATCATCCACCTAGTTCTTATTCAACTTAACTTTACAATTTTTTCAGGGTTATACATTTAGCACCAAAAAATTTGGAAATTCAATACTAAATAACATTAAATTCGTTTCTAACCGCATTTTCGACATTGAATGCTGTGTCGTTGCAATTGCCGAAGGTTTTTCGCATAACCGTTAACGGATGCCAAGGCTTGATATGCTATTACCAAAGCAAGTATTTAGGAAGTTTATGATTTTTATCAGAAAAATGTAAATATTTAAAAAAGACGAAGCGTCTTTATTAAAAACAGCAGAGATAAAATAATAAGATGAAATTTAAATACTTCGCGGACAAATGCAAATTTTTCGCGCTTATTACTAATCATGTTTCGCAAATAGTGTCAAATAATTCAAAAGAGGAAGTAAAATAACGTTTCTACACTCAATCCAGTTGTTGAATTTCTACTCTCAATCCAGTTGGTCTCAGTTGTGATCTATCTGGTTAATGAAATTGCTTAGTGCTCACTGATCCAGACGTTAGATGCATGGTTCAGTAAGTAACATATTATATAGTTCAGTATTTATTGGGTCAGTTAATTATATCATTCGGTGGCTCAATCTAGTTAAATAAGTATGGCTACGTGCTTTGTAACCAAGCCTTAAAGTGCCTATGTCACTCGTTGGATCTTTAAGATGCAAGCAACTCAACTGTCTGCGGTTCCTGAGTCCCAACCTCCTGGGTTTAAACACGGCTATCTAATTTGAAACTGCCCATTGTTTACAGGAGCCTGAGACTCAGGACCTGCAGGTAGTTTAGAGACTAGTATCTTCAAAATTGTCGCACTAAATCAAAAAACTTTTCTAATATATTGACTAACTTTTTACATTCTTTTCAAATGCATAAAGATTCCACGAGTGATATAGGCAACATAAAGCGTTCCAAAGACATGTTCTGTAATCGGCGTCGCGTTTGTAGGTCACACGAACCTCTGTTCCTTTTACTACGTTCATCTTAACAAGAAGCGAGAAGTCTGTAGAATTTTTTAAATATTTCATGCATGTTTAAAAGAAAAACTGAAAGAAGGAAGAATCAGGACAGTTTAAACTTTTCATTCAAATGACAGTGACACAGCTTTGCTTTGCAGACTTAGTTCTTCACACTTCTCGAGTTAGCGTGTCTCTTCCGACTATATTGCTTTCATACTCATAGAAACCCAACAAATAACAATGATAATATCTTCTTTTTTGCTGCGCCGTTCGAACACAACAATTATGACTTAAGACAACTAACAACTTATAATAAATTAAGATATGCCATGCTTCTAAACCGCAACGCCTTTCTCCATAATGATCCTTAATGGGTCGTGAATGTAATCGTAGTGTGGTTATTACATTCATTAGTTATAGCTAATATATAAACCAGAGCGGAGATAAATGTGATTAATTATAAATACATATGTGTTGCTGTGAAATAATAAACTTCAATTTGGTATAATGGTTGAATAAAGCGTTTTAATGACACTTGATGTGCCATGCAACTCGGACGAATTGCTCATTGTGAGTGAGAATGTAATAAAAGCTTCACTATCTACTAATACCAGTCTTCTGTGTCAATTACTAAAATGTATATAAAGCAAAGAAATACAAAAATAACACTTCATCAATTTATTTTCGATTAAAATTACGAACAAAAATGCATGCAAAACTATAATTAAACAACAAAAAAGCTCATCCTTATCACGTTTTCTTCAATGTTTATTTACGCTTCTGAAAAAAATGAAAAAAGAAAAATTAGATTGAGATCATTTTGGGACAACAATCGTTATACTAGCTTTACTTTGTTTTGTAGAATTCTAGGAGAAATGAACAATCATTCTTGTTCTAGCGGCCCTATAGCGTTTTAGATAGTACATATGACTGATAACGTACTGTTTCATTGCTGAACCTGATGTATGACCATTCTATTCCAATTAGCACAATCATTAAGACCAGGCATAACTGCACCCCACACACTTAAACACTGATTATATTGTACTGATTTAAGGTGACCATCGTCGGTAATTTGCCACTGTAGTGGGTTATAAGAACATGGTTGGAGAACAACTTGTTTGTTATATGAGGTTATAACATTAAAGCATCTCCCACTTGCCAAATCTTGTATGGCATTTGTCGATGGAAGAAATTGAAACAAACATGGAGCGGAAGGTGTTGCCGTCGAGAAACTTAAGGAATTTCCAAAGCTGCACAGATAACCATATTGCTCGTGTCTTACCGTGAACTTTGCGAAAGCTAGAAAGGATTTTCATAATGAAAAAATATCTGTCACATGTAAAGCACTTTTGGATATTATTTATTTTTGCACTGGTTTAAATTAAATGAAATTAGCTGCGAAACAGTGCATATATAAACATATATTGTTATTGGGACTTAAATCTTTCTTCAGCCATATTTTATTTTAACAAGAGTTTTTATAGAGAGCGGTAGGATTTCAGATACTCAGTCCGCCAGACTAATTTTATTTTGGAACCGGGCCGAACTGAGTATGGGAATAAACACCCTACCAGTTATCGTTCTAGCAATCGCCCTGAGCTCAAATCGAACTTTAATTTTAAGTCCCTAATTCACTTTTTTTGCAGACCACATTTTTCTGGAAATGACTAGCTGCCTTACTGTGAAAGACTTAAAATACTGAAAATAGTTGGTGGGATAATGTAATAGAGTTTGATGCATGTAATTTATGCAATAACTGACCAAATTCGGCTGCATTCAGGAGAACGAAAGCCAGAAAAAGAGCAAATTTCAAAGAAGCCATTGTCGTTTCAACTTTCCTTTTCAGCTGTTATTCTACAATAAATTTTAACACACAGATCAATAATAAACTCGTTACTTAATCACGATTCAACGTTAAGTGGGTAGAAATTTTCCAAATGTACTTTTATCTCTATATTACAAATCATTATTCAAGTTGATATGCAAGGACCTCCATTACCATTTCCACTGGCGATAATTTTCAGCAAAGAGAAACGTAATTCTGCACGCACTTCGGCTCGTGTATACACAACCGATTGGTACTACCTGTATTTTTGCCAAATAAAACAGACAGTTTCCAAACTGTCGCATCTTAAGTAAATGTATTTATGCTGCAAACCATAACAGAGAACAACACAAAATCACAAAAAACAAAGGTTAAACGTCAAATGCTACCTTTCGAATATTTATTGAGTGGTTTCAGTCGACTCTAAAACTTTTGTAATGGCATATATCTTTAGTCTTTTAAAATTCAAATCACACTTTGAAAAACATTTTTCAAGTTAAACCAATGGTTTCACCCCCTTTATCCATAGTGAATAGTTATCACGTTTCATTTTGCACCCTTCAGACAGAATGAAGATGATTGTGTGATAAAGTCGAAAATTCAGTCCTAATCTGTGTCTTGTTTGAATTATATTTTGATCCTCAAAATTTCTTGTTGATTCGGAATTTGCCTTTACTTTGAAATCTTTGGTTTCAGCAATAATAGGGACTGCAGACATGCAGCTTCAACTATTATATGACTTCATTTAAAGTGCACATGCAACCATTTCAAATTTGGTGTTTTTATGAAGTTTAGACCATGTGTAAATAGATGTTAAATTTTTTTCCTTAAAAAAAGTGAAAGAAACAGAACTTTTTTACAGTCAAAGTTGCCTGATTGGGAAAAATTTCCGCGACTCTGTAAGAGTCTGGGGCGAGGCACGTATGACGTCATTTAAGGAAGGCGTATTAAACTGACACGTAAAGTCAATATCAATGTTATGTAAATTGGGGCAACAAAATTTCCATTTTTTGCGGCAAAATTGAGTAAAATATAAAAAATATGTCAGCATCCGATTCTGATTCAAGCACAGCGTCAAGAGAGGTCGACTCTGACATGTATAGACGAGAATTTGATTTAGAAGACGAGGAACATTCATTGGCAGATAATATGAATGCGAGCGTTAGTGTAAACACGAACGATGGCGATTTTGAGGCGTACGGAAACGAACCACTGGCAGACGAAGCCTGGTTACAAAACTACGCAAGGGAAACGGAACAAGAAAGACGACAAATCGAAGAATATACACAGAGATTGCAAAGCGAAGTACCTGTTAATTCATGGTAAATATTCTATGAAATAACAATGAGTGTTTTGAAACCACCAAAGTCAATCGCTATTACTAAATTTAGAACTTGTAAAAAAGCTGACTGTATGTTTTTAATTGGTAGGTGCAATTGTGGAAATTGCAATGTGGATTTGTTAACAAATCCTAAGGAGTGTAAATGCTGTCACGAAATCGCGGACTGTTTGATAGAAATGCAAGACGAAGTGGTTGTTAGCCAATTAGGGAAGCAGCCAAACTGCATCACAGACCATCCGGGTTTTAATGCCGTTTGTCTCAATCGATGGTCATTACAATTATCGGCGAGCCAATACCAAACGCGAGATGGAATAAGATATCGTAAAAAAGCCTTGGAGGGAAGGTACTGTATGTTCTTAATTAAATGTGCTTTTCAATGGTTACTGTTAGAGAAAAATTGCAATCACTAGCATAGTGTGTACATCCAACTTGGCTCAACAAAGAGAGTGCATTTTATAAATCAGTGGCATTATTTTGAATCCTGTAGATTTTTCCGTGTTGTTGCCTATCGGCAATTTACAAGAATGGTCCATGGCATTCTCCATGACAAAAGGATTCCACTGCCAGCATGTGCCTACCATGCAATCCGATCAACTTTCCCTGTAGCAAAAAATGAACACTTTGAAGGTTATCAAGAGGGTGATTTGTAATATATGTACGGTACGAATTGTAATATATAAATGTAATATAATATAGCAATGGTCAATGTATATAATATAGGTTTTTCCCTATGTACTATTGCTTTGTGTTTTATTTCTTGGGCAGTTTGTTACATTTTTGTGTCCATCCATATGATTTTTGCACAGACTGCAACGAGGTTTTGCTCTCTTTTTGGACGAGAATTTTCTGGAGTTGTCACAACCTCCTCAACTTGGAAAATATAGAAATTAGTAGGTGAACTGGTAGCTGCATGTGTGTTGTTACCTCATAAAAATTCAAACAAAAACATTTACCAAAAAACAGTGGATTACTACCTGGATTAGTTGGTGGAACATTCAATGTTGTCATACTTTGTCGTCTTGCTTTTCAAAATAGCATCAACTTTAGATTGTTTTTCCAGCATGTATTCATGGCAAAGGGTGTCATCTGTTTGATATCATTTCTGGCTTTGTCCAGCTTGTCTTCTTGAATTGCAGAGAGCATCACTTGATATATATCTTCAATATATTCTATGAAGTATAATTAGTAGACAATTCTTTTAAAATAAATTCATAACTTCACTAATTCAGAAAAGACACAATTTCATCAAGCCATTGTACCATTTTAAAGTGGCAAAGTAACAAACAGTATGACACTACCAAATAGCAACAATGTTCATACTGCCGCCAGCAGCATTTGTCTTACCAAAATTCTGAGCAACTTTTACATTTCGAACAACAGCTTCACCGTTTTTGAATTTTGGGTAATGAACTTTAACTTGGGTAGTACCATTCTTTTCACAATTCTCTCGATCTAAATTACTATTGAAATGCACCACAGCAAGGACATGCCTAAAAGAAAGACCAATATTTCAACCCATGGAAGCAGACACAAGACTTAAAGATGACAAGGTGTAACACAGTGATATGATGTCTGTCGTTATTATACACTGAGTATAGATTAATTAACATCAGTTCTCATTTGGGCAAATAACATACCTACAAAACATTCCAGGGAAAGAGTAGCTGATCATTTTGGGTGAGAACTGGTTGACAACAGAGTGAAACCCTTCTAATGAACTAGTTTGAGACAATGGGGAAGCTTTCATAATTCCTGCAATCAACCTGGGCTTGGTTAAGGCCATATACATCTTGTTGTATGCCACAGAATCTGATAAAGAATACAAAAATAACAAATTGTTGGACTGCTGTGGTCCTATACTACCAGATAAACCCTTCTCCAACGAACTCCTAACCTTCATTTAGCCATTTTCGTTGTTGGATGGTGGAGTCATGGGCACATTTATCAAAGAGAGGATCAGAGAACCCGCTGTGTTTGTTCTTTACGTGACCAAGAAAAGATTTGAACTTTGCCACAATAACTTTGCCATTGCCAGAAAGTGTTGTTGTAGCGCTCCAATATAAATGATTACAGCATGGTTTGATCCATTCGAGAATTGACTCACATCCAGCATATTTAGCAATTTTTGCCAATACTTTAGTCACTTCTACATTAAGATAAAAATAACAATAACTATTGCTGAACCTATCTATTATGCTATATTTATGAAAACAAATGCTCATAAATGCATCTTACGTACATGCCTTACGTACCAATGTCGTTTTATTTCAAAATTACCCGTTTCTTCTGATGATTTTGGTACGACACAGCAAGCGCGAAAAAGAAACCATAGGATGGGTGTTATTGATTAGGACAATGCATCCGAGGGGAAATTCATGCGCTAGCGGGGAATCGAACCCAGGTCTCCCGCGTGGCAGGCAAGAATTCTACCACTGAACCACCAGCGCAACGCCACATATTGTAGTCAATTTCGGCAATAACCTTACTCCGGATCCGCTGTATGAAACATATTTTGAATCAACGTATTTTGTTTTAAAGGAGTTCATTTTGCGATATGCATGTTCAAGAAAATGTTGGCATTACACCTATAAATTAGGTGCCATGCTACACGAATCAAACTTAGAAATTCAATTTTTAATTTCGTAAAGAAAGATTTATCTTTTAACAATTGCTGGAAAAGATTTAAGAAAAGGCAGCAATTGGGGGATTAGCTCAAATGGTAGAGCGCGCGCTTAGCATGCGCGAGGTAGCGGGATCGACGCCCGCATCCTCCAAAAAAATTGTGCTTTGGATCTCAAATCATGCTTCAAAACACCGCGTGGCTTTCCGTTGAATGTTTTTCGTAAAAATTTTAAAAATAATATTCATACCTAAGTTTTTAATAATATTATCAAAATTCTATTAACTATTGTATGACAAATATTGATTGATCAATAAAGAAGCTGGCCGTTATCAGCCTTCTATAGCTCAGTTGGTAGAGCGGGGGACTGTAGATAAGTAAACAAACATCCCTAGGTCACTGGTTCAAATCCGGTTCGAAGGACAGTTCCATGGAAAAGATTTTGAAAAATATTTTACTTCCCTAAGTCAAATTTATATACTGGCAGTGGAGTAGAAATTTATTAAATATATGTATGCATATTTATAACAACCTGACATTTTGAAATTGCCCAGTATGCTCCGTTGTTGTTTGCAGCAAGGGAACTAGGTGGATGATCGAAAACGCCTGAAGAATATGAATACACGTTTTAAGCTGTATGCCGAAATAGCTCAGGTGGGAGAGCGTCGACTGAAGATCTGAAGGTCCCTGTTCTGTCCCGGGTTTCGGCAGGAATTAATTTGAAAGACTTGCGGTTAGCTTGGTATCTGCAAGAATATATGAAAATAATGCTTTCATTTTGCGGTTTCGCAAATAGTTGTTTGGGTAATCAAATGTAAATAAACCAAAATAGATATGTGTCATTGTAACAATAGATTTCAATGCGATACGGCGGCTCTGGGGGATTAGCTCAAATGGAAGAGCGCGCGCTTTGCATGCGCGAGGTAGCGGGATCGATGCCCGCATCCTCCATATTTTTTTCCCTATTCATCAATTAAAAACACATTAAATTCTCGAAAATGCGACACAACTTTATTCGTTCAAAATATCAATTTTTTTTTAACAAGCTCGATGAATGGCGATTCTTCCTAATCCTTGTCAGTGTTCGTGTCCTGGAATAATACTCATTCAAGTGTTGATTGTATTGCCATAATCTCTTTTTGCCGGCCATAATTATAAAAACGGGTTTCCCACGCCGGGAATCGAACCCGGGCCATGGCGGTGAAAACGCCAGATCCTAGCCACTAGACCACATGGGAACTTGCTTTGCCTTACGTAACAATATCGTTTTATTTTAAAATTACCCGTTTTTCTGAAGATTTTGGTACGACACAGCAAGCGCAAAAGAGAAACCACAGGATGGGTGTTAATGATTAGGACAATGCATCCGAGGGGAATTTCATGCGCTAGCGGGGAATCGAACCCCGGTCTCCCGCGTGGCAGGCGAGAATTCTACCACTGAACCACCAGCGCAACGCCACATATTGTAGTCAATTTCGGCAATAACCTTACTCCGGATCCGCTGTATGAAACATATTTTGAATCAACGTATTTTGTTTTACAGGAGTTCATTTTGCGATGCATGTTCAAGAAAATGTTGGCATTACACCTATAAATTGGGTGCCATTCTACACGAATGAAACTTAGAAATTCAATTTTTAATTTCGTAAAGAGGGATTTATCTTTTAACAATTGCTGGAAAAGATTTAAGGAAAGGCAGCAATTGGGGATTAGCTCAAATGGTAGAGCGCGCGCTTAGCATGCCCGAGGTACCGGGATCGACGCCCGCATCCTCCAAAATATTGTGCTTTGGATCTCAAATCATGCTTCAAAAAACCGTGGCTTTCCGTTGAATGTTTTTCGTAAAAATTTTAAAATAATATTCATACCTAAGTTTTTAATAATATTATCAAAATTCTATTAACTATTGTATGACAAATATTGATTGATCAATAAAGAAGCTGGCCGTTATCAGCCTTCGATAGCTCAGTTGGTAGAGCGGGGGACTGTAGATAAGTAAACAAACATCCCTAGGTCACTGGTTCAAATCCGGTTCGAAGGACAGTTCCATTGAAAAGATTTTGAAAAATATTTTACTTCCCTAAGTCAAATTTATATACTGGCAATGGAGTAGAATTTATTAAATATATGTATGCATATTTATAACAACCTGACATTTTGAAATTGCCCAGTATGCTCCATTGTTGTGTGCAGCTAGTGAACTAGGTGGATGATCGAAAACGCCTCAAGAATATGAATACACGTTTTAAGCTGTATGCCGAAATAGCTCAGGTGGGAGAGCGTCAGACTGAAGATCTGAAGGTCCCTGGTTCAATCCCGGGTTTCGGCAGGAATTAATTTGAAAGACTTTGCGGTTAGCTTGGTATCTGCAATATATTGAAAATAATGCTTTCATTTTGCGGTTTTCGCAAATAGTTTGTTTGGGTAATCAAATGTAAAAAAACCAAAATAGATATGTGTCATTGTAACAATAGATTTCAATGCGTTACCGCGGCTCTGGGGGATTAGCTCAAATGGAAGAGCGCGCGCTTTGCATGCGCGAGGTAGCGGGATCGATGCCCGCATCCTCCATATTTTTTTCCCTATTCAATCAATTAAAAACACATTAAATTCTCGAAAATGCGACACAACTTTATTCGTTCAAAATATCAATTTTCTTTTTAACAAGCTCGATGAATGGCGATTCTTCCTAATTGTCAGTGTTCGTGTCCTGGAATAATACTCATTCAAGTGTTGATTTTATTGCCATAATCTCTTTTTGCCGGCCATAATTATAAAAACGGGTTTCCCACGCCGAGAATCGAACCCGGGCCATTGCGGTGAAAACGCCAGATCCTAGCCACTAGACCACATGGGAACTTGCTTTGCCTTACGTAACAATATCGTTTTATTTTAAAATTACCCGTTTTTTCTGAAGATTTTGGTACGACACAGCAAGCGCAAAAGAGAAACCACAGGATGGGTGTTAATGATTAGGACAATGCATCCGAGGGGAATTTCATGCGCTAGCGGGGAATCGAACCCCGGTCT